TTTCAGAGCCAAAGCATTCAATAAAGTTTATTTTGTTTTTTCCTCCTTAAAGATAACAAAAAGAATCATATTGCATTACTTAGGAAATAATGATTTGTGTACATATTTGTAGAACATAGAAATTTTTTAAAATCCAAAATGACTGCTATCTTCTGGGTGAATATACAAATGAGAATCCCGATGAGGCTTATACCAAAAAGCGTGCCCATTGTTTATTCCCTCTATGGACTAGAGCGGAGGTCAGAGGGAAAGAAAAACGATATCCCCGAGGATCTGTTCAGATGACGGAGGGGGTCGATCTCTGGAACAGATGAGACACATCTCAATGTTTACAGAGGATCTTCTTACAGCCTCTGAACCTTGGTTTTCCCAAGTAGTATGCAAAGTTTTTCTTGCAGAAGATGCTGCTATGGTGATGAATTAGCAGCAATGAGCTGAAGTTACTGCATATTTAGTACGTTGACCCCTAATATTTTTGTCAACAGAAGACAGATCTAAATGGAAATATGGATCTAAAATTGACTCTTAGTTTTTTATCTGCTTCCCCCCCCCCTCTTTTAAGTCATTTATAATAACATCATGGTTAAATTCTACAGAGCTAATGGCTAATCTGTCTATAATTTGCTAGGCTTTAGCCACTTAAAAAAGAAACGTCTTCATTTAAATGCAGAATTATACCATAACATTTAAATTATTATGTACATCCCGGTGGAGAAAATTTTGTTTGTTTGTTTTTAAAAGAGAGGCTCTAAAGGTGTTTTTACACCTGCATTTGGTGGGATCAATAATACACACACTACAAAGCAACTTTAAGGGACCCGACATTGAACCTTGAGGTACACCGCTGACTTTTTTTTTTAATGTTTTCTTTGGACTGAGTCAAAAATCTCCTCAAATGCATGTTTTTCTTTTTGTCCAAGATCATTAATAGTTCTCTAGTTTTATTTGTTGTCACCTCATTAATCATATGTAGAGGAGAAAAAAAAGATTCAGCTGATCTCAGTTAAATACATAAGAACCCACAGTGACACAGGTGTCACTGCCTCTTTACACACTGAGAAGTTTCTGTTAAAGTTTCAAAACTGACTCTCCGATAGTTTTCCTCACAGTAAAAATGGGTCCGAGCTCTTATGGGTTAAGCTTTAATTGCTTTCAGTCTTTGAGTCATTATTTCCCACATGTGGTATTTACACTGATTTTTGCTTTTATTTATTTATTTTTTCTTGGACCTCTGCGGTAAATCTTTTTATTAATTCTGTGTTGAAACCCAGATAACAGTGAATGTTCGGCCCCACATCTGCAGTTTTCTGTGGGCTCTGACTGATGACATGGACTCCGGGTGTGCCTCTGCTCAGGCGCAAGTTCACTTTATTTGCGCCAGCTGTCAGGTGGATTGTGATATTAGGGTCGTGTCTAGACCACACAACACTTCCCTGTGGCATAACTGGAGCCGATGGTGGCTCACATTAGGCCTGGATGTTTCTACTACACGGGCATCTTTCTCCAGGATAATATAACATCCCATCTGTTGCACCAAAAGGTGGCCGAGAGCTGGGGCGGGGGGGCAAAAATTCATGTAATTTCGCTATATTGGAAATCCCCCCCCCCTTCCCTTAGTTGATCATTAAACCAAGCTACAGAGCCATATTGTAGTACTTTAAATATTTAAACACTGCTAATCCATCAAACACGGACAGCCACGTATTGTGAAATGTGCCCCTTTTCTGTTACAGCGAGTTAATGTTGACTTTTAAAATTGCACCTCCGTGGTGTTTTGTTTATTATGCTTTGAGTCTCTAAGAACACTACTAGCTGCAGGGTGAACAATCTGGCAGTGCAAAGCACCTGTCAAGGACCTCCTTAGGACTTTATTACACAGTTAAACGCTTTTTCTTATATCACTGCTCTCAATTTCTGCTCTCAATTAGTATTTGCGTTTTTCAAATTATTCTTTATAAGGGTACCTCCTCCTCAGCACGCTGATATCTCATGTGCCTTTGTATTGATGTTGCCAAAATGCAATATTGACGCATTAACGTGCTATTTCACTCCTCAGTTTACTTTATTGCACTTGTCCTGTGTCCAAGGATAGCATTTCTTAAGTGCATTGTAACTAGACACACACACGCACGCACACACACACACACAAAACACACCTGGGGAAACATTCCTCGAGGGAAGTCATCAATCAGTTTTATGTCTTTCTCTGGGAAAGTTTCCTCCTCTCCAATCAAGCGTCTTCCCTCCTCCCTCCCTCCACTTTCTCGTTCCTATATTTCCATCTGTATCAGTTTTGCCTCACATCTGAGAACAATCCACTCCACCAAATTAACTTCAGCTATTTTTCCTATTTCACCGAGGGGATAGCGAGATCTTTGCCTGGATGACGAGATAAGACTACTGCAACTGAACTTTGTCTGCACCCCTCAATTTACCTGCCAGTGCTAATTAAACCTGAAGGAGGAGAATCCATGCAGTGCAAAAAAAGAGAAAAGAAAAGGCATCCTTAACAAACCATGAAATGCTGAGCTGAGTCTTAAAAACTGTAGTTTTCTACTAAACAAAAAAAATCTGGAATAATGGCAAAGGTCAACCTGTTTGTATTTATAAGGAGCTGTGTCATGTCTCCTGCTGCATGACGTAACACTACAAAACTATAAATTACAGAAAGCACAAACATATTATGAAAAAATGCACGAGTATCATAAGTATGATAAATGGGAGTTGGCTACTAATGGGCTAATTTGAGATATTTTGATCTCTGGTTTAATTTAAAGTGTCGTTTGCAAACTCATCTCATGTTTTGGATGTCAAATCTTAGTCTCCAATGCACTCAGTAACTGGCCAACAAAATAAAAGAGTACAAATGCGAACACATAACTCACAACTAAAACAGCAGTGCAAATGTAACTAACACACCTGCAACTGATGGAGCTGTTGTCAGAAAAGAACTAAACTCCTCACCTGACAACAGAACAAAGAAGTGTGTCTTCTATCTGCAGGCCCTATAAATAAAATCAGACTCCAAAAAAGGTTCTGCTCCTGAAAGAAGAACAAAGAAGAAAAGGTGTTTCTTTGAGCCAGTGAAGGCAACCAGAAATCAAAGCTACGTTTGACTAAAAATATTCCCACAGTGAGAAAAAAGAAAACCTATGGAGTTCATCTGCAGTAAACAAATCACACAACAACACGACAAATGCCCTGCTTAATGCACTTGTGCACACAGAGGGGGTTTGTGTGGCTACTTTCCATTTCTATTCTTACATCAAATGCTCTTTCGTCCTGTTTCAAAACAACTTTTGATTATTTTAAGATATTTACTGAAAGCATGCACTGGTGCAGAAAACCTTTTACATAACTATTTATATAATCAGTGATTAACTGGAAATATACAGGTTGTTAGCATAGAATGGTGGGCGTCAACACTGGACTTTCCCACAAAAAAGAAAAGTAAATGTTATCCAAACATTTGAAGCTGATACCAGCAGAACACTTAGCAGTAAAACAAGTGTTTAAAGAATAACGCTTTGGATCGGGGTTTTACGCATTCGGCACTTGGAGCCAGTTTGGCACAGAATGATGTGACTCCTCTCCTCGGTGGGAGCTCTTGGCTCAGTTTTGTTGCTATTAGGAGAGACACCTCCCAGATTATCCCATTAATTTGCACCCACAGTCCCCCCACCCCTACCCGGTGCGTTGCCCCCTCCCGGCAGGTTTGCCTTCTGCTCAGCTCTCCTCTGCACACCGAGCTGGATGTCCGGACACTTGCTGCGCTGCTCTTAATGATCAGGAGGCACCGCGGGAGCAGGAAGGAGAAGCACAGCGACGACGCACATGGTGAGCTCCTGTGACTGATTTTTGATCGTTTATCGGCTCGAGGTCTGCGGTAGCTGAAGGGGTGTGAAGTTTTATCTGCGCTTTTGTGGCGCTGGAGAGAAGCAGCAACGGAACTTCAAGTGCAGACTGTACTTTCTGTCGGTGGAACTGAGGGCTAAAAGAGGGTTAAATAAAGGCAGAAACGCATTTGTGGGGAATAAAAACTCGTATAAATTACATCAGGGGTAGAGTTATAGCTACGTTTCTCTTTTCAGTTATCGTTTACACACTTATATTTTCATAGGTGAGAATAAATCTCATTAAAAATTCATTCTTTTAAATGTGATTACTGATTGTTTTACGCGCTGACAAATAAGCTGTAGGACTGAACTAGAAAAAAATACGCTTAATCCTATAAAATGACCTCATGTAGTATAAATTGTTTTACCTCGAGTGTTACTGAAATGTAAATTGCTTATTGTGTTTATTTTTATTTTATTTTATTTTTAAATAAGAAAACATTCTAAAAAACAATCTGTATTTATTTTTTGTTTGTTTTTTACTGCAACATTGCACAGAACTACAATTTTAAAAAACATATTTTCATTTGTATATTTCTTTTAAATGTAATCGTACGCACGTGGTTTTGCCATTATGTCCCATTATGTTGAGGTAAAAGAAAAATTAAATAAATAAATCAAAACACAATATACGCTCATAACACGATTTCCAATTAGCAGGCCGGGAATTCGGCGCTGTTATTTATCCTAAACGTTAAACACAAGCGAGAATAATGATCAACATTAAACATCAGAGTGAAAGTTTTCTGATCACGTTGCGATAGCCTCGCTGTGTAAATAAAGCTCATAATTGGCTGCAGCTAATTTGCGCTCAACAAAAGCGCAATTAGCTCTGCTGAATTGAGCCAATTAGTCTCCGGGCTTCGCTCTCAGCTCTGGCCAAAGCAATCAGACTAAATATGATAAACATTTACGTTTCATGAACCGTGGCAAAGGGATCATTAAAGTCTAAGGACTCAGGTTAAAGTCAACTCCGGCATCCAGCGTGTATCTGCGGGCTGTTTGCCTTTTAAGGTCCGTTTACAGTTTGTTGGTTTCCCTAAAAATCCAGTTTAATAAAAAATATCACCGCATTTGTCTTAATAAAGACAGCCTGCTTTTTTCTGTCTTTCTTTTCTTAAGGAATTTGGGGACTGGGGTTTACTGGATTGCTGTGAAGTGTTAATTAAAACAAGCTAAAGTTTAGTAAACAAAAAGTTTTTTATTTTGTTTTTGTTTTTTTATGAAACTGTAACACTAATGATTAATTAGCTGACGCAAATCATGGCTGTTTTTCTTTTCTTCTTTTTTCTTTCTTTTTAAAAACATATATTTTTTAATCTTGTCCGGTGCTCATAAAAGGCGCAAACCTGGCGGTGTTTTTTGATTCATTTTGCGCCTGCTTCTCATTATTAACTTGCTGTATGACACTATGCGGATTTAATTGGCACACAATTACGCACAGGAATTTTTTTCCCCCCACAATGCCCGAAGTTGTCTTTGGCCTGACTGCAGCGTGGATTCCCAGTGATTTAATTTCCATCTGGTTTTCAATAAGATCATGTGAAGTTGGAGCTGCGCTGAAAGCTTCTTGCCAACTTGTATGAGGCAGTAAAGGGGAAATTGACAGGAAACTCCCCTTGTATTATCAAGCGGGCAACATGTGTTTTTTTTATTCAAAAGTGAAGCAAGTAAATCTTGCAGGTCGGTGCAGAGACACCTTTCAGATCTGAGGGGGCACAGATGGCCCAGGAGGATGCGGCACACGTGCACCGGACTGGCTGTTTGTTGGAGGTGCAAACATGAAGGACAGAGGCCTTTAGCTAAAGATACGAGCAGCGATAATCCATTTTGCGCTGTCTGTTGCTTCCACCTCCCTGACCACCCCACTAAAATTAGATTATTACACCTAAAACAGAACTCCTGGAATCCGCTCCGCGTGGAATAACACACACATGGGCTTCAACTGTGCGGGCAGGAATGCAGTATGGGAATACAGAGCGCATGCATAGCCTTTCTCTTCTCACCCAGAGCCCAGGGTTGTATTTCTGACGGCTGAGGACAATTGCAAATTAACAAAGGTGTCAGTTTGGTAACATGCGCCAACAGGTGCCCGCTTGGTTCAGCTTCAAACGCGCTGGCTATAAGACAGAGCTTATATAATTGATCACATTTATTTAAAGGCTCCGTGTCTTGGAGCAGAGCTGCAACGTAAAACCCTGGGAAATCTTCCCAGATGCTATCAGCTCGATACAAATCCACCTTATTAAACAACACAGCCGTGTGTTTATTTGCGCAATCCTCATTTTAATCTATTGAAACTCCTCACAGAGGTTGCAGAACTATTTGAATTTAGCATATTTTCCCTCGCTGCGGTTGACCGGGACTGCTGCGCATGACGAGGAATGTTAAAATGTGCGAGACAGGCCAAATCCAGCTCATCTGCTCAGCAGAATAGCTCCAGACACAGACAGGCCCAAAGCTCTGCAAGGGACAAAGCGAGTTAGCAGGTAGCAAGAGAGAGGAACCACAGCAAGAGACAGGAACACAAAAAAGACACGTTTGCTGCGGAACAATTAAACAAGCAAAAAAAAAAAAAGTTAATTTATGAGTGATAAGTTTTCAGAAGGAAATGATCTTTGTTCTTCAGTTAGAATCATAATACAGCATAAGGCATGGTATATTACTTACAGAGACAGGCCAAGCATGAAAAATGAACATGCATGGATATGTGGAAAACTATGGATGTATTGCTGTTATTACCCCATAAGATCACATCTCTCTCTCTCTCTCTGAATGCTCCACCAGACTCCTAAATCTACAGAAAGACTCAGTGCAAAACTGTCTAGCAAGCAAACGCTTTTGCAAACAGCATTTTCAGCTGCACCGAAACACCTTATTGAGTTTCCTATTCACTTACATATTCCTATCCATTTATTCAGATGTGAAAAACTTATATGCATGTGCATGAACTCCTGCAGCTTCAGCCTCTACCAAATCATTAAACCACTTTTTTGTTTCTGCTCCCGACATCTCTGCTGCTTTCAAGTTCAGACACATTTCAGCGTTATGAAGAACGGGAGATTTACATCGGGAAATAAACGAGGACTGCAGAGCACGAACACCAGCGCCGCTCTCCTTGCTCTCTCCTGTTCGACTATGCTGTAAACATGCCCCCAGGTTGTCAGCAAGTATTTTTCCAGCCCCTTGCCAGCCAAGCATAGCTGCTTCTAAAGATCACCCGCCAGAGATGTTGTTGATCTCATCATACCACTATTTGGCTGTATAAGCTTTTTGAGAGGCAGATTGCTGCCAAGTTATTTCAAAACTTCTGCTCACAGGGTCCTCAAACTGAATGCATATTTGTTATATCAACAGCTATTGTGTGCATTAAGTTTGCAACTAAGAAAAAGTAGACAAAACTGAAACCGAGATCGAGGCCTCTTCTTGGAGTTAACGGGAAATTCATTCAGAGGAAATCCCGCTCGTCTTCAGCATTTCCGCCCCCGGCATGCTGGCTGTGTGAATTTATTGAAAGCGGTAGAGAAAAACCGTAGTTGAAACCATATCTGCTGGGTTGCATTGGCCATACGAGACAGTTGATCTAGTCTCTGCATTTGGCCTAGAGGGGCGCATTAAAAACCTCAAGGGCCTCACTTAGATGAGCATCCATTTATCAGAGTGGGTGTAATGGGCAAATGTTTAATTAGTCATGTAATGTGACAAAGACAAGAGCAAGTGCATGTCACGGGAATGTTAAACAACCTACCCCTTTCTCTTTTAGCCATGTGTACGCTTCACCCCCACCACCCGCCTACACGCTTATAACTGCCCATCCGCTGAATTCCTGACTGAAATCTCACCACTACTTCCCTGAATCCTCTGGTAGCTTTTTACCCCGCTCATCATCCCTTTGACTTGTCTCCCCTTCTTATACAACCGGTATATCGACACCACATGAAACCAGAGACCCAATTAATCAGCCGATCAACTTATACGTCCTGCTTTTTATCAGTGTGTTCAGGTTCCCGTGGGGCATGTCTCGACACGTCAGGAATGGCTAGCCGAGGCATTCTGGATCACAGGAATGTGGCTCACTGGGACCAGGGTCACAGTCAGACCACTAATCACTGCACTTGTTACTTGTTTCCTTTAGCAACGCCACAAAACACAGGCGCCTGCTGAGCCTGTTATTCCCCTTTTGTGCTCAATCAAGTTTAGCTGATTTATTTTCTAGCATTTGGTTGCTTTTGGACATTTGCAGTTTGTCCCCAGGCAGCCGAGAGACCGCCGTGACCTGCACACAGGACCCCTCAGAGTTGTGTGGTCCCAAAAGGGAGGCCTCATATTTCGGTCGTTGGCTAATTGAGCGGCATGACGAGGCCGGAGAGGCTCTCAGCCCCGTTCCTCTCCTACGGGTTTGGTTTATGCAGCCCTGCTGACTTTGCTGTCAGTGTCAAACGCTTGTTAGGGCATCATCAATCTCACAGCAGTTAAGAATATTCCCAGAACAGAATGAAAGGGGCAGGTGATAGATGGGCAGGGAGACGGGAGAGTGGAGGAAAAGTTGTTTGAAACCGCCGAAGGATGGCGGATATAAATGAGAAGATGACAGCCCATTTAATGAAGAAAAGAAATCATTTCCCAAAAGCGAAAGGAGAAAGGTGCTGAACTCACCCTGCAATGGAGAAACTTACGTAGTGCTCATTGGGAAATGTGCTTCTGGGCTTTGTGTGAGCAGCAAAAAAACGATAAATCACTGGGCCCAGAGAAAGTAGGTGCATTGTCCATTTTGTCCGGATGCCAAAGCGGACGAATTCTAGTATCAAATCATGACAGAAAAATAAATTACACTCATCACCAATTACACGAAACGGGAAGCGGATTTGTTTGCACTGCAGACCTACACAAGTCAGGGTTTGTCTCTTCAACGGAAGTATCCGAGTAGGGGCTCAAGTCGAACACACATTTCATTCCATAAATCATTTCTACCATCCCAAATGCTAATCTCCAAGTCCTCTTCCTCCCTCTCTGTTTCTCCGTGCCCTCTTTCCTACACCACGACACTACTACACTGCTCATGGTCGGGGCCCTCGCTGCGGTGGCTGCAGCAATGACCAACGGTAAAGATATTTGGAAAGGGAGCAATAAATATGATGGATGTGGTCCAGCTCAGGTTTTAGCCCCAGCTGTCGGGCATGTTTTTTGTTATTTCAGACAGACCTGCTGGGTGCGCGCCCTTCTTCACCCGCATTCATCCACTCGTTTTGGGGTTAAGGAGCGTTTTAAGATGGATAAGTTCTTATAAGTTCTCAAGTTCAAGGGTTCAAACCGGTGGCTGACACTACTGGGAAGATGGGAGATTACATTTTTACAGGATGAAGTCTGTACTGGCAACTACTGAAAGCCAATAAGGTGAACTTGCAGTGATGCAATCAGTTGGTATGGTGTGTTTTCAATAAGGGGACAGGTGGTCCTTCTTAGATTTCCTTCTTCGGCTTCAAATGCGTATCATATAAATCAATCCGTTAGTCTTTTGTTCTTTTCTGATCACGCTCCTGTGGTTTTCCTCTTTAAAAAATGATTTTTTCCTCTCACAGGCTGGATGACATGATGTTCCAACCCTTTTCCCCTCCTCCCTCCACCTCTTTTTGTCCTGTTTTCCTTCTACTCCTCTTCCTCTGTCTTTCCCTCATTTCCTCTTCCCTTCCCCAACCGCCGTTGAGCTGGAATTCACCTAATGACCCCTGCTACCACACAGTTGGCCGTCCGCGACACTGCCTGTCAGAGTTTATCAATGCTGCCTACGGGGTTCCAGTCAACGTGAACCACTCGCTACAAGGAAATGATTATGACAGCCACATCACCACCTTAACCGACCTCAACAATCCCCACAACCTCACATGTTGGATGGCCGATGCAGGTACTGACACAGGAGACTGGGTCCTTACCCTACCGCTGGGCCGCCGCTTTGAGATCACATACATAAGTTTTCAGTTCTGTCACCAAAAGGAGCCATTGGACCCCATCTCCATTTCCATCCTCAAGTCGATGGACTTTGGGCGCACCTGGAGGCCAATGCAGCACTACTCCAGCGACTGCCTCAGGAACTTCAAGCTACCTTCACAAACAGTGGCCCAAACGAGACATCAAGAAACGGAGCCCCTCTGCTCAGACCCACGCCCTCTACAGAAGCAGCGAGGAGGCATGGTGTTGGCCTTCTCCACTCTGGATGGACGGCCATCCTCTCCTGATTTTGACTATAGCCCCACTCTCCAGGACTGGGTGACAGCCACCGACATTCGCGTGGTCTTCCATAAGGTGTCCAGTGAGGTGAAGATAGGCCACATGGATAAGACAGAAGAAGAAAGATGGCTTGACCGTGGACACGACATCAGAGAGGCTGGTGTTGTGAGATGGAGAACGGACTTCAAGGATCAGACTGGAGATCAGGTGGACAAGTTAAACACAGAAAATACACTGGCATTTTTTGACAGGGAGACAAAAAACTCAGAGACAAGGGTGAGGAACAAAGGGGTTAGAATAGATAAGCAAGTCAGGAAGGGCCATTATAAAAGCTCAGGTCAAGATGAAGACGGGCACAACGTCACCAGCAAGGAAGGGGGGGACAGTTTCAGCATGGACACTCTCACTTCTCCTAAAAAGGGCGGGAAAGGCAGAGGGCGTGGCCGCAAGAAGGAAAACAATCATTGGCTGCCTTGCCCCAATGGAGATTGCAATTGGACAGTTGAGGGGCGGAGCAGAAACAACAAAGGGCAGGAGCTGAGAAAACGGAGGAACAACAATCACAATACAAGGCCGAGGAATCTGCAGGCGGCCCAACCTTCTGCTTTTAAGCCCCCCGGCCGAGCTCCTTTTGCCCTCTCGGACCTGCAGGTCGGGGGCAGGTGTAAATGTAACGGACACGCTTCCAGGTGTCGCCGCGACGACACGGGTCGTGCAGTGTGTGTATGCAAGCATCACACAGCGGGGCCAGACTGTGATGTGTGTGAGGACTTCTACTTTGACAGACCATGGCATCGAGCTACGCCCACTAACCCAAACCCCTGTGTTGGTGAGTCCTGCATCACACTGCCTTTGAAAATGCTAACATAAGCACACCTTTGGTCTTATGAAAGAAATCAATGAAATCACTAGAAAACATATTGCAACTGTCAAAAACTGTGCATATAGTAAAGACAGCATGATTGAATCTCAATTTCAAGTACAGGTTTATAAAGGCTATAACTCATCCAGCAACTTAATGTCGCTCAAACAGCACAAGCCAGACATCTGTTTTCAGCATTAACATAAAAACCTTTGCACATCAGATCCTGACCGATACTCAGCAGCCTACAAACATGTTGCAGAGGTCCAGTTCAGTGACTGTTACTCAAGGCAACACACCATTAATTATACATGACTTCAAACATTAATACAATATAAATGAGGGCGCTTTAAAAGATCCTCCCCCCCACACAGTTGATGTGAAAGTTATTCTCGCTATAAAAAAAGAACAAAAGACGCACTCTGGAAGAGAGCTAAGTGTAAGAGGGCTTTGTGTCAACATATTTGCAATCAAACTGAAAGTCATAAATATGGCTGAAGCCAAAATTTCCCTTATTTGGTACTTTCTGGATACCATATTAAAGCCAAACTGCTGGATTTGAATAACCCATTGTTAATACTTTCTCCAGCCCTGAAACTCTTTTCTTCGTTGGTGTTCATCAGTATTTATTTTGCTTTGCCTATGTCCAGCCTGTGAGTGTAACGGCCACTCCAACAAATGCCGCTTCAGCATGGAGGTGTTTCAGCAGTCGGGCCGGCGCAGTGGAGGCGTGTGTCAGAAGTGTCGCCACCACACGGCCGGACGCCACTGCCAGTACTGCCAGAATGGATACACCCGCAACCACAAAAAGCCGCTCAGCCACCGCAAAGCCTGCCAACGTCAGTGACTGGATGTGTGTGTGTTTAGTGTATATGTGGTGGGGGACACAAGATGGAGGGTAGAGCGAGTGCGTGACCCATACCTTTGATTGACTGTACATTCGCTGAAAGATGAAAAGTAAATCAGAGTGTGATCGTGTTTATGCCCGACTGTCAGAATGTGTGTTGCTATTTGAGCTTACGTGGTCCGCTCTGCCTCTGTACAAGTGTACAAAAGTGTTAATGGGGTGGTTACATTGTGACAGACGACAGCTATTCCTGTTAGCAATATACAAAAGCACACACAAACCACACCGAGCTGCCTCATGCATCCACATTATTACCACCTGTGGCATCTGCAATGACCCCCGGTGACCTTTGACCGGTGTCATGTCCGAAGTGACTGTGACACCCTAGCTTAGCTGTGTGCAAGCTTGTCCTCTGCTCTAATACTTTGCTGTATATCCAGAATTAACAGGCCTTGTGAGTTTCACACACATTCAGGGATAATAAAAATATTAAACATGCTCAATATTTTATCACTTTTAAGGCATGAAACAAGAGTATCCTGCAAATTTATACGCTTTTAGTCCTGATTTATTGCTGCTACATTTCACTTAGTAACCATTCAGAGGCCAGCGGTGAGACAATTACTCATTTTCTCCAGGCAGGTTGTTTGGACTTATTGTAAGGATTTGTATAAACATTGTTCGAGTGTGAACAGAGCTGCTGAGGAGAGGCTTCCTCTCCCCATCTGTCTTCTCTCATTGGCCCTTATCCTTTGAAAGCACTGGTAAATAAAAAGCTTTGCAATGTAAACTATGGCAAATCCAGGCAGTAATCATTATACCGTGTAACAGGCAACACTGCTAATATCTACTTAAGAAGGTTCATCTTCACTAAAAAAACTTACCTAAAAGAAACACCAGAGTGATAATGATTCCCTGAAATGGTGTGCAATTTTGTTAATATCTCCACTGAGGAATTTGTCTTTGTTTACCCATCAGGAAACAGACGCCCACCTGGCGTTAGTATAGGCCTTCTGTAATGCTCAGTGACACGCTTGAGGACACATGCTTGTCATTCAGGATTAAACCAGGTCCTGTCACTGATGGATGCATTTATAAGTCCTGTTGTCATGTCTTTCCTTTGTTATGTTATTTTTAACATATCTTAAACCTATCCAAAATATAGATTATTTCAACTGGCTCTGCTCACCATTTTAGCATCTTTTAGCTTGTTATTTTGGTTTACAACCTGCTTGTTGGTGGACAAGAAAACTGAGGCAAAAACAGTACAGAGCATTAAAATACAGGCTAATAAGCCTGTACTGTAAGGTGAGAATATGTCAGTGTTGGATTTACAGCTCATGTCAGTACCTACCAAAAAACGTGCTTATTCAGCTTCTAATCTGTTCATTTTTCTTTCCCAGCGTGTCAGTGCCATCCTGTGGGGGCAGTGGGTGGCTGGTGTAACCAGACGTCTGGTCAGTGCCTGTGTCGACGAGGTGTGACCGGCCTCAGGTGTAACCGCTGTGCCCCAGGATATGAACAGGGGAAGTCTCCTTTACAGCCCTGCATACGTAAGTTTACCGGCCACGCAGATGTCCATTTTAAACCTGCTAATTTTAGCAGTGTTGTCAGAAAGAGTTTTCACTTTGAAGGCAAAACAAGAACTTCTTCCTCTTTCTGTCAGTTATTGATTCCACAAGGTTTAGTGCTACTAAAGAGTGCACAAATGAGCCACACAGTGTGTTTACAATTGCTAGCAAAGCATAAAGGCTGTCAGTGCATGCTAACACTTTTCATAACCCAAGGAAATGCTAACACAAGCGCAGATCACACCAGTTTGTCCTCATCTACAGCAACTCAGATTGTTACTATTGCAATATTAAAAATGAAATTGGAAATGGGTTTTTGGCATGGATTTATGCTAACCTAACCAGAATAGCTCTCCCTTAAAACTAGCAACATGTAGATTGATATTAAGTAGCTACTTGATGTTAGCCAGTAGCTCAGTGTGGTTGTATGCAAAATTTGATATTTATCCAATACAGCACTGCATATGCCAAAACCTTTAATTTATAAAGGCAGCTTATGTAGACTCTGAGGCATAATTTATGAGGCGAATGCATCATCAGTAGTCTGAATACATTTTCAAGACCACAAAAAGTGTTTGTACAGCAACAATGTTTTTCTGTTTTTGTTTTGTTTTGGTGACTTCGTTACTAATTCCTCTTAAATGATTATTATTGATTATTATTGATTGTTCTCATCTGGACTTGAGAGTTTACACAAAAGGATTATTATAATTAGACGTTTTCATAGTTCATACTTGAAGGACACAGATTTAATAAAGCAAACATTTAACATTCATTTAACATTTAATACAGGGCTGAATTTATTATTTGAATGTCTGAATGTAGTCAATAGGTAATCAGCCTGTTAAAGACACAACTGTGATGACCAATCACACTTTTACCATTAACTAATGACTGAAACATCGCTTCCATCACGTCTGGATATTCTTTTCCTCTCTGGGAGGACTCTGCCAGTGGGCTCTGTCTTTTGTCCCAGGGGTTCTGGGTCTGTCTGAGGGATTTCTCTCCTCATCGCTCTGTTTCAAGGATTTTCGTGTGTTTGTGGAAATTGGTGCAACTGCCATAACACCCATCAGACACAGATCACATTTTGCAGTGTCTCATTTCAGCCTGCATGTGTCCAAGTCAAGTCCAAGTTCCCATGTAATTTTGTTACATAAGTAGAATGTAAAATGTTACATTTATTGAACCTGGTCAAATGGTTCAATACTGCACTTATTTTGCCTATTGAGTTTTGCACACATGTGGGAGCCTTCCAGGACTCTATGAAAACTATGAATAGAGGCCTCAAATCTGAAAGTTATGACAACCTCTTTTGTTTGTTTTTATAAGGATTGATTTCATAACAGCACTTAGTCTTACCGTAATTAAAAATGTTCTCTCTGCACTCGACACCCTTTGGCTTTTAATAGTTTGTTGTCAGTCATGACAAAGTGACTTCTTTAATTTCTCCTTCAGCCTCATTTGTTCGTGGCCTAAATGGATTAAGCGACTCTATCAAGCTGTGTAAGCCTTTATCAAATTGTAGCTCAGTATAAATAGGGCCGCTGCGCTTCAGTTTAATTTGGCCCGATCTCCTCGGCGTGTCTCCTTTTCATCATCCCTGGATGGTTTCCACAGCAGCGATAACATGAGCTGAGCGCTACAGGGAAACCTCATCTCCCGCTGATCTGGTATCAGCGTCAGATCAAGAGGATTGTTGCCACTCACATCTCTGCGCCTGGCCAGCAACAAACATCAGCCATGAGCGCTAATCCACGCGCACATCCCGGGCTAATCGCACGAGTGCCGACAACTACACAGGCTCTGACGCTGTGTTAGTCCCAATCAGGTGACATAGGGAGCCAGCAGCAGGGAGCTTCGCACCTGTTGCACGCCTCAAACTGCCCCCATCGAAGGGCCCAGACTCATAACTCTCCTAGTGAAAGGAGTGAGTGAAAGAGAACCTTGTTTGTTTTTACTCCCAGACCATCTCAGTCTATGTATAGCACCTCTCTGCTCCCACCACCTCGTACATCTCGCCTACACCTCATCAGACAGCCCTAAATGTGTGCAGCAGTCAGGCTAAATTCAATGTTAGCTACCTTTAAACCATTTTATCTATGCTCTGAATAGACCAGGATGTCAGCAGAATTGTCTGACAGGGCTGCATATTTTGGTCAAACTAAAGCTAAAGCAAAACGGAATCCAAGCTAGCTGATGAGATAGCCCCAGCTAACCTTTGCTAAAGCTTTAACTGCAAATTTATGAAATGAAAAATGATCAAGTTTTATGATTTGTTACAAAATAGAAAACAGTTATTTCACATATTTAAAGCAAGTTGATGTGCTGTCACCTCAGCCAAAGTCATCTATGACCTCGGGTTTAATCCTGTGAGGGCCATCGTGAACGATTACTGGAACTGTTATTTTGAAGCATTATCTAAAATAACTGAACTTTTTTCCTCTGAAAGTTATATATCTACCAACATCTTTGCTGATTTCACTTCAGAATCCTCTTAGCAGCATGTCGCTCTGATGGTGGCTTCTGTTTTTGTTAATAGAGTTTCGATGAATGCCAAAGAAAAGAAAATAGTTGAAATCCCATTAACATGAAATATTGGTCAATGAAAAGTCTTCTCACATTAAGATGAGTTATCTGATTTAGTTAGTTAGTGCTGACTTTTCTCCTAGTGTCATGTTTTGTTGTGTTTTTACTTTGACCTGATATTTCCTGGGTTAGATCATATTTTTATTAATTAATTTATTGCTAATTTTATTCTGTATAGTTCCTATATTGATTTAGGAATGCATGAACAGCATCTTTTGTTTCTGCACTATTTGGAATTTTGCGATATGTGACGATTCAGACATTTGACTTGCCTTGTAAATTTAGAAACATATTAAAAACTAGAAGCCCACTCAGCGACACATTCTCCACCGAGACCAATAACCTTACATTTCAGTTTTAATCAATCACAGATGTTGCCTAACTGCTGGTTTGAGGTACTTCTTGAATGTCGCCTAGACAATTGTGCTAGACTTTTTAGCAAGAGAACGATTAGCATTAAGAATTGTTTTATGTTTTTTTTATTATTTAGAATTAAAAGAAATCTTGAAGATCTTGAATCTTGGAAATCCCTGTACCCTTAATGACTCGGTGTTAATCAATAAAGATGTGATTTTGATGATGATTAGAATAATATATATATATCTATATATCTATATATCTATATATATCTATATATATCTATATATATCTACATATATATATATATATATA